ATGTCCTTTTGGCACCAGTAGCGTGTAGCCTGAGAAGCAGGGGCACCTGACTTTATTAATTTCAGGGTGTGTTGATTCTTCTTGCCTAGGCAATGAGGTGCCTCCATCCACAGGGGAAAACTGTCGAACGCATCACCCTGAGAATCAATGGATTAGAATTAATGTCTAGACAAAATTGTGCCAGAAGGTGGCAGAAGAATACAGGGAAACAAACACAGCGTCTCCTTCCTGCCATTCAGAATCTTAAAGAAAAAATCAATTTCCATTTCACCATAGAATTAACTTCTAAGCAGCCACGGACAAACAAACAAACAAGCGAAGAAGCAGAAGGCTCAGCTGCACCACAACAGATGTGCGAGCCATTCTGAAATCTCATTGCAAAGACAGCCTCTGGATGGGAGCTAAATATCAAAGCGGTGAGAAACACAACAGGGCAACACAAGGCCTATTTTAAAAATGGTCCTAGACTACTAATAAAAACTGCTTTTGTTGGTAATTGTTGTATATTTGGTACTTTGGCATCTGTTTAATCAGAACGTTGGAATACTAACTGCGGGCAGACTCCTCCCATCATTTCTTTTTCTTAAAGTCTCAGCAAGTAAAACTCTGGAAATACAGTATAATTCTCTCCAGCTTCGTTTCATCCTCCTTTTTTAAAAAAAGAATGGGAAATTCATGAACAAGGAATATTTTGGGTACAGCCAGACCCCTAGAGGTCATCTCCGATAGATTATATCCTATATATATATATATCAGGAAAAATATCAGGAATATCAGGAAAAACCTCCTAACTGTTAGAGCAGTACGACAATGGAACCCATAATCTTAGGAGGAGGTGAGCACTGCAATGCTGGAGGCATTCAAGAGAAAATGGGACAATCATCCATGAGAAAATGGTCATCCATCAGATCTGCTTTGATTTGGATTCCTCCATGGAGTGGGGGGGACTCAATGGCTTTATCGACCCCCTTCCAATTCAATTTACAACATATAAAGATATGCATGAGATGTGCCTTCCATATGTCAGTCCTTATCAATAGGCTATCTCTTAGTTACCTATTTCTTGAGAGAGAGAGAGAGAGAGAGAGAGAGATTTTGAATGGTTCACTTCTTCACATTTCTCTTGCCAAACAGAAGTCAGCTAAGTCCTCTTTCTCATTTAGAGTAAGCTTTTGATTGAATAGCTCCACGTTTTAGGTCTCTGGCTGCAGAGATTGGGAGTTCGATTCCCCCACTGGGCCTCCTGGGTGTGCCTTCCATATGTCAGTCCTTATCAATAGGCTATCTCTTAGTTACCTATTTCTTGAGAGAGAGAGAGAGAGAGAGAGAGAGATTTTGAATGGTTCACTTCTTCACATTTCTCTTGCCAAACAGAAGTCAGCTAAGTCCTCTTTCTCATTTAGAGTAAGCTTTTGATTGAATAGCTCCACGTTTTAGGTCTCTGGCTGCAGAGGTTGGGAGTTCGATTCCCCACTGGGCCTCCTGGGAGAAGAGCCAGCCAGGGTGGCCTTGGGAAAGCTGCACAGTCTAAAGCAACCCTAGAAGAAGGGTAAACCACTTATGCGTATGCCCTGTGTAGAAAACCCTGGAAAGGGTCACCATAAGTCAGAACCAACTTGATGGCACACAATTGCTACTATTATTTGAATGAAGAGAACATAGAGAAAGCCCGAGAAGAAGTAAATATCAAGAACGTCTGCTAAGTGTCCGAAGCTATTTTGTCTAAGCTCCTTCCATGATGCTCAAAATTTTCGCATTCAATGGCTACTATTATTTGAATGAAGAGAATATAGAGAAAGCCCGAGAAGAAGTCAATATCAAGAACTTCTGCTAAGTGTCCGAAGCTATTTTGTTTAAGCTCCTTCCATGATGCTCAAAATTTTCCTGAAAGTACAAAATCAAGGGAAAATGGAAGCAGGCAGAAATCCCACTCATGGGAAGTAGCTTCATTTGTATTACCCTTCAGGCAACGGATGCACAGGTGAAGACAATGTTATTCCACCAAGATCCTGGCAGTTAACACAATTCACTGATTATACACATCAGACGTTAAAAAAAGCACAAGAGACATAGTTATTTGCCACAAGTTGGTTTTCTTGGCAATGAAATCAGACATCAGAAGAAACACAACAACTGGGAATTGTTTTCCTTTATGTTTCTTGACTGCTGATGAACAATCTTGATGGGCGCTGATATCATGTATCCAATTCGGATCCTACCAACAAACTATTCAGAGTGATGATGAGAAGAGGCATTAACCTCACTCTTTATTGACTTCATGAGGAATGATATTTTTAGTTACCCCATAGGATATTTTCCTCTCAAGGGTATTTTCAATTATTTTAAGATCAACATTTCAAGTTGTATGCCATTAATTTATCAATCTCAAGCGTTTTCCTTAAAAAAATAAATGAAAAGCCAACAGGGAGCACAACAAGAACTGCAGCAAAAGTTGTGAAACTTTTAGAATGATTAACACTGTAGCAATAATCACGTGTCATCAAGTCTATTCCGACTTACAGTTAGCCTTTTCAGGGTCTTCCAGACAGAGAGTATCAGAAGTGGTTTATCATCCCATTTCTGGAGGCACTCTTGAACAGGTGCAGCTGGCCCAAGGCCACCCAGGCTGGCTCTTCTCCCAGGAGGCCCAAAGGGGAATCGAACTCCCAACCTCTGATTCTACAACCAGAGACCTAAAACACTGAGCTATGGGCCTGAATAGGGCTTGGAGCTAGCTGAAAAGAAGTATATTGGCTATTTCCATATATATGTTGCCTCCTTCTTTCACAAGTTGGAGTGCGTTGACCGTGACAACCACATTGATGAAGTTGATTTGCCATTTCCTCTTCTGAATGCGCTGATTTTGTTTCACAAGCTGTCCCAGGCGTTACTTCACGGATCCACAGATAATCCTTGCTGAGTGCAGATTCATAATCAGGGCAGCCCTTCCCCACCTTCAGCAACACATCCATCCACCCCCTGCATCCCCGCCCCACCTCCTGTTAATCCTGTGATTTGAAATTGCATTCCCATCATATTATCTCCCAGCCTTAATCTCCTCCAAAGCCCCCCCCCCCGAGGCTCACATGTGTGGATCGCAGGATTTGGCCTCCGACGACGATTCTCTCATTTGTGACTCCAAAAAGATGGGACACAGAGATTCAGGTCAGGGCAGTTCAGATCAAAGGTGCCGTAGCGATGCATCTGGGCAGAGGTGGGGGCAAACCTGAGCAAGGCAACACAATCTCCACCGCACCACCCCCACACACAAGGGAGGCAAACAAGAGCCTTGCTTCATTTCAGTCTCTGTTCATGAACATATCCAGGGCAGCCCCCCAACACCCTTGGTCTGTAATCACCTAGGGCCGTTATTCCCAATCTTGAGTCCCCAGATGTTCTTGGAGTGCAACTCCCATAAGTCTTCACCACTCGTGGTGCTGGCCAGGATTTCTGGGAGTTGTGGTCCAAGAACATCTGGGGACACAAGGTTGAGAAGCACGGCCCTAGGTGATGGTGGAGGTGAGAATCAAAAAAATGTGACAATGGCCCCTTGATGATGAAAAGAGACGTCCCTTCGGATGAATGGAGAAGTCTAGGTAGTGATAGGACCAAGGTGGAAGTATCTCAGGACGTGTTTCGTTATTTTGTGTGTCTGTTCTGTGCCGTCAAATCAGAACTGACTTACGTGTTTCATTATTTTGTGTGTTGGTTCTGTGCCGTCAAATCAGAACCGACTTATAGCAGCTCTCATAAGGCTTTCAAGGTAAGTGAGATATTTATGGGGTGGTTTTAACAGTTCCCTAGTGAGTATTCCATGACTGAGCAGGGATTTGAACCCTGCTCTCCAGAGTCCTAGTCTATCACTTTATCCATGACATAACACTGGGAAATAATTATTTTGTGTGTTGGTTCTGTGCCGTCAAATCAGAACCGACTTATAGCAGCTCTCATAAGGCTTTCAAGGTAAGTGAGATATTTATGGGGTGGTTTTAACAGTTCCCTAGTGAGTATTCCATGACTGAGCAGGGATTTGAACCCTGCTCTCCAGAGTCCTAGTCTATCACTTTATCCATGACATAACACTGGGAAATAATGCAAAATACAAAATACTAAAGAACTGCTCCAGCCTCTTGCCAATAGCACAGGCTGGTATGATAGATAGATAGATAGATAGATATGGGTAACAAAGAACTGCTCCAGCCTCTTGCAAATAACACTGGCTAGTATGATAGATAGATAGATAGATAGATAGATAGATAGATAGATAGATAGATAGATAGATAGATAGATAGATAGATAGATAGATAGATAGATAGATAGATAGATAGATAGATAGACAGATAGATAGACAGATAGACAGATAGACAGATAGACAGATAGACAGATAGACAGATAGACAGATAGACAGATAGACAGATAGACAGATAGACAGATAGACAGATAGACAGATAGACAGATAGACAGATAGACAGATAGACAGATAGACAGATAGACAGATAGACAGATAGACAGATAGACAGATAGACAGATAGACAGATAGACAGATAGACAGATAGACAGATAGACAGATAGACAGATAGACAGATAGACAGATAGACAGATAGACAGATAGACAGATAGACAGATAGACAGATAGACAGATAGACAGATAGACAGATAGACAGATAGACAGATAGACAGATAGACAGATAGACAGATAGACAGATAGACAGATAGACAGATAGACAGATAGACAGATAGACAGATAGACAGATAGACAGATAGACAGATAGACAGATAGACAGATAGACAGATAGACAGATAGACAGATAGACAGATAGACAGATAGACAGATAGACGGACGGACGGATGGACAGACAGACAGACAGACAGACAGACAGACAGACAGAGAGAGAGAGAGAACGTGATCCCAAAGCTTAGCAATTCATTCAGAGATTCAGATCAAAGGTCTTTATTGGCAGGATACATTTTACATGCAGTCTCACATATACCATTGTGTGTGTATGTTTCAAGGTATGCAACTCACAAGCATTCTCCTCCAAAGAGAAGCAGGCATCCCACCAAATGAAACTAGACCTTGTATGGGACGAGGAACACCATCAACCGGTGTCTACCTGTGTCTTCAAACCACCTCCGTCCAGAAATGTCAACTGCAAAACCGGAGACACACTCTTAACACTTAAAAAGGCACACCGCCGTTCATCCTTTTAAAACGGGCACATTAAGTAGGTTCTGTGTCCAGATCTACTACTGAAGCATCTACCGCCTATTGTAGTTGTTCTGTCTACATGAGTTATTCCTACATCAGTCTCCACCGCTGTGAGATAATTACATGATTTCCCCTTCTGATAGCTTGGCGAAGAGTGGGGTCTGCACCATGGAGTATCTGTCTCTGCGCACCGCTTGCCCGTGCATTGCTTGGGGAGGATAAAGGGAGGGACACCACACGTTCTCTCTCTTCCTCTCTCTGTCTCTCTCTCTCCAAGATTTAAGATTGCCCTTCGGATTTCTCATGCTCTGGATATGAACTAAAGTGCATTTAAGGTTGAGTTCTGTGTTATTGTGAAGTCCAATAACCCAAAAGATCTCACAATTTCGTTGCTCAAAAGAGGCCTGGATTCCACCTTGGTGGAATTCAAGTGGACAGGTCTGGCCTTTCGGAAGTCCGTCCTTTGGGAATAGCCGGTCACTTCCTTGGACAGGGGTCCATTGGTCCATTCAGGTGATGGAGTACTGGGTTCCCCGCCATTTCTCTGTGCTCCTCTGCAGTCTAATTGAACATCACATATCGGAATTGAGAGTCAAAACGGCCATCCAGTTAGCTATAGAACACCGGCTTGCGCTGGATGCGCAGCACATTGTATGTGTTCAGCCCTGGAGCATCAAAGCCGGGGGACAATCCTTTGCGATCAAAAGGGTAGAAATTAAAAAGCTGCCCATCCTGGGTTTCCAGGGAAACTGAGGCCGAGCCCAGATGCAGAGTACAAGGGAACTCCTTGTCAAACACCACCTGGAAGACCCGGTCCTCAAGGTGGTGCAGCTTGATAGTCCGATAGTTTTCGGGGATCAGCTCCTCGATGTGAGGCCCAAACTGTTGCATGACCAGCACTCCACCAGAGCCAACCTTGATCTCGTAGAAAGTTAGATTGGAGTAAGTGTAGTAGCCCACGTAAGGGGTAGGACTCGGCGGCGGGTTGAGGCTCTTCTCAGCCTCACGGAAGGCAGATTCCATGGCCGGGATAAGATGCTCATAGGTCTGGGCCACAAGGTCTCCTCCTTGAGGACGAGGACCAGCCATCAGCACAATGAAGCTCAAGCGGAGCTTGGGGACCAGGGAGAAGGTGGCCGAATAGCCATCCAGGTCTCCGTCCTTACGGATGATGTCGTACCCGAGCAACTCATTGATCTCCCAGGGAGTGCCGGTCTTGTTGGCGAAGTACTCGCTGGAGCACTTGAACAAGGGCGTCAGCATGGTCTTGACGGTGTCGGGCTCCAGGAGACGCCGGTGGTAAGTGCCCAAGAAGACCATGGCCAGCTTGGCTAGGTCCGCGGCTGTGGAGTACATCTGACCCGAGGGCCTGTACCAACCCAGGTCATAGAGGGGAGCCGGTTGTCCACTGCCGTAGAAACCAACGGCCATTTGGGAGCGGATGGGAGGGGTAATATCAAAGCCCGTGTCCTCCATCCCCAAACGGTCAAGGATGTTCTCGGTGACCCAGCGCTGGTACTCGCCTTCGGCAGCGTGTTCTGCTAAGACATGTGCCATGAGGGAGAAAGCTAGGTTGCTGTAATGGCACCTGAAGAAGGAAGAGGGGAAGGAGGGAGAAATACAGATTGTTCTCAGTGGCCACCAAGCTGAACAACTGCCACATCAAAGCATCTCAGTGGCTACAGAACATGATGAGACAATGTTGGCCTACAACTCCCAGAATCCTTGGTCCATGTGGGCAGGGCTTCTGGGAGTGGTTGAGAACCCATGTCTGACAACCACTGCTAGAGACCGAGACTCAGGATCAACATGATGGATCCAGCTTTAGTCATAATTTAAAAGGACCCATTGAAATCAATGACACTTGTGTGCATTATGACTGAGTTAAATACCATGGTTAATGTCCTATTATTGGTCTCAACAGGAGAGTAGAGAGATTGAATCAACTGCTGATGGACACACCAACAGTTGTGGAAATCTTATCAAGTCAATAGCTCTAACTCTGAGCAATTGGACACTGGCCCATGGATTTTCAAGAGGGCTCTTCTAAATTTAGCTAAATCTGGATTCAATCCATTGTTACCCTAGGTCAATGATTCCCAACCTTGGGTAACCCAGATGTTCTCAGATTAAAACTCCCAAAAGGCTCCAGCACTGGGTGTGCTCGCTGGGGTTTCGGGGAACTGCAGTTCCAGAACATCTGGGCTACCCAAGGTCAAGCAATGTGTGGCTCACTGTTTATGTAATGGCTAAGAAGTGACCAAAACACACACCCCGACCACATAAACACTCAATCTTGGGGTAGTTCTGAAGTTCTAATTTTCCAAATTTCTCCTGGAGGAGAAGCAACATGTAAAAATCTTAGGTGTTTTATTGATCTTGCCAGTCTTAGAACTGCAAAGCTGGAAGGGACCCAACTGATCATCGAGTCCGGCCCCTGACAATGAGCCACATCCCAACCTCTGGCTCTACATCCAGTTACCTAAACCACTGAGCCCAATCAAAGCACAAAAAGCTGTACCCACAGACGCATCTTCCCCGTCTCCCTTGAACAACGAGGTGCTCAACAATGAGATCAGGACAGCTTTCTGTCGGCATCCAACCACAACTTGGCAACACAGAATGGAAGGAATCGAAACTAAGAAATACATGGAATAACATGATGAAATCAAGAAGCGTTTTTTTAAAAGATAAAGCAGTGCCCCAAGCTGTGGAGGGATTCTAATACAAGGTGCAACTTCAGAAACAAAAAGCAGAGAATCCGGAACTCCGGAATGTGTGGGAAAATGGTGGTGGGGAAGAATTTTTAGAAAATATGGGTACAAATGTCACTGTAACAGTAATGATTTGTGAACAATTCCAGATCATGAAACGTCAGCACTGCGGAAAGAAACGCAGATGGAGTTGTTTCTTTGGTAGGTGCAAGATATGGGCACGAATGTTCGTGCCAGTTTGTTTTTTTGGCAAAACACATTTTCGGAGGTTCTCAGCCCCACCTCCTTCAGTGGGCACCCACTCAGAGGCAGCTTCCCTGCCCTGCCTCCCCCAGCCACTGCCTCTGAGTGGGTCTCTAACAGAGGAGGCAGAGCTGGGAAGTCCCAAATGCCTGTCTGGCTGAAAAACGAACTGGCACGAACTACTATACTATGGATGGTTCACACCCATCTCTAGCAGGCATCACTGACACTATTTTATTTTATTTCATCTTGCTTCATTTTATTTGATTTCAGTCTCATATTTCCTTCAAACAGCTCAAAGGGGTGACATGGTTTTGCTCCTCCCTACCTTTTCCTGTGAGGTACAACAGGCATGACAGCATGCGAGTCCCTCAATGTCACCAGGGAGTTTCACGTTCATGTTTCATACCAAGAACATTTCCTAGTTGTTTCATCTGCAGCTCTTCCTTATTTTAAAAAGAAACTCTTGCTGGGTTGGATTTAATTTGTGGATTAAAAAAAAAAACACACTCTCCAGTACTGCTTCTACCTCCCTTGGTTATTTTTTCCTGAAGGGAAAAGAAAGCTGGGAATATTTAATCTCCCAAGAGAGAACAGGATAGGACGAAGGTCATCTAAGCTGCTTTGAAGATTTCCCCTCGCAGAAACACTTAAATCACCATTAGGCGTGAAAACTAGAACTTGCATGTAGTATTTATTATGGATCTTGTCTGTGATTCTAGCCAAGAATCTGGAGGGGGAGGGGAACTCAATTTCTGGCTGATCTCTTTTAGGTCTTTTTGCCCAAATAGCAGAGAAAGCAAGCAAAGAATGTTTTTAATCCTGTTGCAGAAAAGGATACCGTGAAAATACAAGAGCATGATTTCTATGCTTTAATATGTTTTCATAGTTGTAGCTGTATTAGTCTGTGTAAGCATATCGAAGGACAGACACACAAACACACACAAAGAGAAAATAAAAGCAAAGCAAAGCACACACACACACAAAACCATTGTGGAACATTAAAATATTCATGTAAGGCTCTGGTGCTCAGTTGCATTTCACACCTCGTAGTGATTTATGACTGAGTATCAAGAAAAACTTCATAACTGTTAGAGTAGTACAACAAGAGCACCAATGACCTCGAGAGGTATGAATGCTTCAACGCTGGACGCATTCAAGAGAAAATTGGATGGCCACCTGTCAGATCTGCTTGGTTTGGATTCCTGCATTGAGCACGAGGTTGGACTCAATGACCTTATAGGACCCTCCATTATTCTAGGATTCTATATCCCTAAACATGTTTCACCATGTGGTCTCTGTATTCTAACCCATAGGTCTGAAGAAGCAAACCACGTTCCAGGGAAGCTTACAATTAAAACATGGTAGTTAGATTTTAAGGCACCACAATGCCTTCTCCTTTTTTGATTTTGTTTTGCTTCGAGTGTTTTTTGTTGATTTTTTAAAAATAGAACCACAGAGTGAGAAGGAACTCCAGAAGCCATCTAGGCCAGTTGATGATGATGATGGAAGAAATTTGCTGCGACCACACTTTTCAGCAGAGTCTCTGCTGAAAAAAGCCTCTGCCCATGGAACACCCACAATCTGTTCCACCCTCACATGGCTTTTACTCACTGGGAGTCCTTCTTGATTTTTATTGGAGCTTGAGTCCACTCATTTGGCTCCTACCCTCCAGAGCAAAGGGTAATCCAGGTGTTCTTGGACTGCAACTCCCAGAAACCTCAGCCAGCATGGATGATGGTGAAGGTTTCTGGGAGTTGTGGTCCAAGAATAACTGGTTGGGAGCCACTGCTCAGAAGCATCAAGAAAGAAATAAGCTCGACCTTTTATGTGCCAGTATTTGAAATAGTTGAGGCAGAGACCACTGCCTGTCCCTTGCCTGGCCCTGATCAGTTTGTATTAGAGACAGACACAAACACCCCCCAAAATGGTGGTTCATCTTGGTTCGTGGTTCGCGGAAGTCCATGAACCACGAACCACAAATTTCTGAATTTTTCCCAACAAACCACGAATCGGTTTGTTGATTCGTTCAGGAATTCTTTGTGTGTGTTTAGATAGCCCAGAATCAACAAACCAGCCATTTTCGATGAACTTTCTGGCTTATTTTTAGATTTGTGCCCATCTCTAGTTTGTATCCATCTCTCACATTTCTTATACATATTTTTTCTCCATGTCTCACTCATGCAGTACCTGGAGATTATTAATTCCCCCCCTGGCCTACCTAGAAATGCTAAGCAGTGAACCAGGGATCTTTCTCACGCAAATCAAAAGCTCAGCGTAGTCACCTTTGCACTTTTGAAATAATTTTCAAAGAGAGGTTAGCTACCTTGTCGACTGCTAACATTTCTAAAACATTCAAAGACCGGTATCATTTTAATGGATTCCAGAGGGACGAAAAAGTGATAGAACAGGTGTAGGTGGGGTTAGGTTAAATTCATTGTCGAGGGGGAAAATGCAATTATGGAGATGGTGGCCTTATTCAGATCTGGAAGGCGGCAGTCTACAGATGCTGAGAAGGGGATCGCACCAAAATGAGCCTTGTGGTGCAGTGGTTAAACTGCAGTCACAACTCTGCTCACAACCCAGATAGCTGGCTTGAGGTTCACTCAGCCTTCCGTCCTTCTAAGGTCAGTAACCTGAATACCCAGATCTCTGTAGTCTGCATAATTCAATTGTAAACCCCTGAGTACCCAGATCACTGTAGTCTGCATAATTCAATTGTAAACCACCCAGAGAGTGCTTTAAGCACTCTGGGGCGGCATATAAGCAGTATGCTTTGCTTTTGCTTTCCTGGGGCGGCATATAAGCACCATGCTTTGCTTTTGCTTTCTTTTTCTTTTTTTGCTTTGTATACTTACTTGGTTCCCGGATCAGCCACCAGGACATCATCCTTCAGCAGTGCCAGTGCTTCCTGAGTGGTTCCTTTCCACAACAGGCTTGTGGAGCGCAGACGTCGGGGCAGACCTGGAAGGGCAGACACACCCAAGGAAAGTCACTCTCCACATGTCCCTTTGCTTGCAGGGCAAACTGGAATCTGATTTCCGGTTTGTATACTTACTTGGTTCCCGGATCAGCCACCAGGACATCATCCTTCAGCAGTGCCAGTGCTTCCTGAGTGGTTCCTTTCCACAACAGGCTTGTGGAGCGCAGACGTCGGGGCAGACCTGGAAGGGCAGACACACCCAAGGAAAGTCACTCTCCACATGTCCCTTTGCTTGCAGGGCAAACTGGAATCTGATCGCTCCGATTCCAGCGGGGCAGTGAATCCATCCAGGTTTTACTCTGAACCTCACAGGCACTCTCCAAGGGGCTGAATCCTAATTTTCAGCCCCTTGATAGGTCAAAACACAGGCCTGATCCATTGACCATCCGAAAGCAGACCCAGAAGCTTCACCTGGAGAAGAATCCCACAGCCTCGAGCAGGAGGATGATCTGAGAGATTACTGCCCGGGGGATTCCTGGAGGAGTTATTTATGCCAGGTTTCAGTACACAGATACACACACGGAGAAGATTTAATGATTAGGCCAGACTCTTACTACAGTTGGCACCAGCATTACTCACTCCCAGAAGATCAAGAACCTGAGGTGGGCAGAAGTATTAATAGCTCCAGAATCTCAGATCACAAGGTCAGTTTAAATCACACATTAGGATCTGTTCTCCGCGATAAGCCACCATCACCTTCTCTTCCAACAGGAAGTCAGAACGCTCTTGGCACACGGAGACGAATGATGCTGCAATTCATTACTAGGACCTGAAAGCGTAAGAGTTACTCATGGGAACGACTGCTATTTCCCAGAATCTCCCAGCCAGCATGGCTGTGGGCTATACTGGCTGGGGAATTCTGGGAAATGTAATCCCAAAAATAACTTTACCAGCCTTTTGTCAGAAGCAAACAAAAAGGTCTGCTTATTAATTTTTTTTTTAAGGGGAAATGCATGAAAGTTGGAGTAGAAATGTTCCTCACAAGGCAAACATGTGGATGTAGAGAAGTTCCTACAAAGGGCATTAAAAGTTACCTGAGAAATTCCTCCTCATTCATTCTATTTCTAACAACCCCCCACCCAAAAGAAAACATATTACTCCAACTCAGCGGAGCTTGTTTAAAACTCACTGAGGTATGTGTGAGAAAAGATGGCTTCCCCCACTGCTTGTCCATCAGGCAGCCATCTTGGTTTTTCCCTACACAAAACTCTCTGGTGATCTAGTATCATTTCCCAAGAATGGAGGCAGTGGCCGGGGACTGAGATAGCTGCCTCACTTTGCCTCGTGTGGGCTGGCCCCCCTCTGGAAGGAAGCCACCCTTCAGAAACCACGTTCGCTTGGTTTTATTAAGATGGGCACCAATTATAAAGTGGTGAGGACACTTTCGGGTGCTTGTAGCTCTATTTGTTGTTGTGATCTGCAGACGAGCTGCTTCTGATATATGGTGACCATGACAGAACTTCCAAGGTGTGTGAGACACTCAAGGAATGGTTTAACATCTTCACCAACAGCCAGTGAACCTCCATGACTGAATGGGGATTTGAATCCATACATGATAGAACAGTTTAACATCTCCACCAACAGCCAGTGAACTTCCATGACTGAATGGGGATTTGAATCCATATCTCCCAAGTCCTAGTCTGACACTCTATCCATTACTTCTATTTAGACATTTATAATGTAGTTTAAGAGAGAAAGCGCTAGCCCTTCCCACTTCATCACCATCCTTGATCTTTAGCAAGAATCAGTCTAAAGATAGAACAGTTTAACATCTCCACCAACAGCCAGTGAACTTCCATGACTGAATGGGGATTTGAATCCATATCTCCCAAGTCCTAGTCTGACACTCTATCCATTACTTCTATTTAGACATTTATAATGTAGTTTAAGAGAGAAAGCGCTAGCCCTTCCCACTTCATCACCATCCTTGATCTTTAGCAAGAATCAGTCTAAAGAGGAGAGTCTTCTCTACACATTGCAGCTGATCTAGAACCCCAATCCTTCAGGGTTCTAGATCAGTGGTTCCCCCCCCCCCACACCTTGGGTCCTCCAGATGTTCTTGGATGAAAACTCCCAGAAGCCTTCACCACTAGTAGTGCTGGCCTGGATTTTTGGGAGTTGTAGTCCAGGAAGATCTGGGGACCCAAGCTTGGGAACCACGGTTCTAGGTAATGTATGGAGAACCACATTGAAGGTACAACACAGGTGCTCCCATTTATACTGTCGCTCTCTATGTTGTGCCTGGTTTAACCAGAGTCCAAACAACTGAACAAAAACTTGCCAGGCGTTCTGAACAACAGGTCTGCTTGGATCTGGATGGACAATATCTTGGAAAGGTTCTGTCACAGGGCCAAAGATAGAACCCTCTCACCTGAGAGCTGGCTGGCCATCCTTCGCAAGGTAACAGGGGATGGCTTGAAGGGCAAGGTGCCTTTCTCCAGGAAGATAAGTCCATCGGCGGAGTACCTTTGTTCAGACTCTTTGAGGCGTCCCAGTGGATTTTTAATTGTAAAGCTCTGGGTGTAGCGTTCTAAAGGGTCATCAAGAGAGGTCACCTTCCCTTCCTCCCACAGCCTGTACAACATGAGGGTGGGGAAGATCTTGGAAACACTGGCGATCCTGCCAAATACACAAACGGCACTTAGACACACGAACAAGAGCAATTAGCTGCGCTGGCAGATGTAATTTCCCCCGCTCAACCATTACCGACACTCAGCAATGGTTCCCTAGAGGTTCTTGGACTACAACTCCCAGAAGCCTTCACCATGAGCTATGTTGGCCAGGATTTCTGGGAGTTGCAGCCCTCTGGGGACCCAAAAGTTGGGAACCACTGCAGTAGACCATTGGTGGTTTACTGGACGAGTATCAAGTTGAACAGTTTTGAGAAATTTATACTAAAAATTTTATAGATTTTTTTTTTTAGAAAGGGCAGCATGAACCTGGCTCAGAATGTATACAAAGAAGGAAGTCTAGGGAACATCTCTAGCCAGCCCTACAAAAGATTTGTTTTTCCAAAGAATTCCCCAGGTAGCATTCTACGCTTCCTCCTTTTGCTTGATAAGGGCCATACCATGACGTGTGTAGAGAGCCCTGGATCCCAACCTTGGGTAATCCAGGTGTTCTTGGACTGCGACCCCCAGAAGCCCTAGCCAGCACAGCTGTTAGTGAAGGCTTCTGGGAATGGTTGTTTCAGCTCATCTGGGTTAAGCAAGGTGGGAAACATCGATTTAGAGGATGACCTGGCAAAGAGGTGTCCACATTGTCCATGCACAAGAAAATCCTGCGGCGTGTTCTTCTTGTTGTCAAATTTCTTCTGCTATCCTGCTCTGCACATGGAAACACACACACACACACACACACACACACACACACACACACACACACACACACACACACACAAGGTCTGGAATGTGCAGGAGATGGCAAATTCCAAACCAAGTGAATGGGGTTGTGTCTGCCTTACGAAGTTATTTATAACTCTTATAAAGTAAAGGACACGTTGGCAAAATTAAAGGGAGGAAAGGAAGGTGGAGAGGCTATAAAATATGGAACTTAAAACGATGGATCAACAGATTTATTTCAGGGTCAGCTTTTTTCTTTTACTGAATTCCACTTCTACAGACAAAAGGGCAGGAATGCCTCTACAGTTATGGAAAAGGTGTATCCTTTAGTTTTGAGACATGTTGGTGTAAGTTGAGAAGTCTCTTTATGTTGTCTGTTGCACATGGAGTCACACCGCATGCAACATGTAATGCCTACAGGGATTTCTTTAAAGCAATTTGCCACTGAAAGTTGCACCTTTTGCATAGCTACACCCGGCAGTGCACATTTGGTGTCCTCTATATTTATGCAAACCTCCATGATAGAAGGAGCCATGACCAGCTGAGGATACAGCCAGATAATAGGGCAGTACATTGTTAACACAAGATTTGAAATGTGAATAATTTGAAATTGCAAGCCATCACTAGGGTAACAAATTGCATGCCAGGTAGATCTGGCTGTCACAGAAATGTTCTTTTTCTGGGTCAGACGTCAGAGCGATGACTATTTTATACCCATGGGGTGTTACAGAAAGCGAAGGCATTAATATATGTAGTGTGCTACAGAGCCTTGATCTCTATTTAGGCTTTTAGAGATGAACTTGAATGTATTCATGTATTTAAATCTGAGGAAATTGTATTTGATCAAGGATTGCTTGCACTGAAATAAGTTTTTAAGGAGTTGTGACTTCTTCTCTCCCTCCCCTCCTTTCTTCCTTCAGATTTGACAACATTGTGAGACTAATTAGCACAACTACTACTTTGGAAACAGTAATAACACAAGAATCAGAGTAGATGGGGTGCTTTGATTAGGAAGGAGCTTGGTGGAGAAAAAAGTAGACTGTACCCTCCAAGCATTGGTCCTCCCAGAGCTTGGCGAGGTTACTTTGTGGACTACAACTCCCATGATTCACCAGCCAGTATAGCCAGTGCCTTTGTAAGTTTTGGGACTTTTTGAATCATGTCCAAAGAAGGGTTGTGTTGACATCTGTGGGTCTGCTCAGAATGTATTTGAGAGTCTGTTGTGTTTATGAGCATTGAGTGAACAGAACCATGAAAACAGCATGTTTAAGAGCATTTTTGGTGCATAGTCTACCATCCAGCCAATTAAAAAAAAACATGAATGCAGCTCCCGCCATTCATCGTTAAGCCACCAGTAGATGAACAGGAGTCAACTGGGCTGCAATTTCAAGAAATCAACACCTTGGTAGTCATCTTGTATTAACGATATGCTGTCACTTGGTCTGTCGTCTGTCTGTCTCCTCATCTGGTTATAGACCCTACCCAAGAAGTCTCCATTTTGTACAAAAATACATATCTTAGGGAAACTTGCTTGCACAACAATAACAACAAAAAACTTAACCTCCAGGCTCACCTGTAAATGGTGTATTCATTGGGAATGCCTGAGAAGGGATCAGAACCATTTCGTTTCCCGAAGTTGCCCGTCCACAGGACGGTGTCGTTATAAATCACGATGGCCGACAAGGCTGGAAGGCCAGGGCTGCGGATTTTGTGACGAAGAAGTGTGTCCACCTGCGGGCAAATTTGGAATGGTAAGAGGGAAGAAACGAAGGCATTTTTTTCCAAGCGGAATAATATAATATATTTCCCCCAATGTGGCACAATTTGTTTGCAATTGCTATGTATGAACGTTGGATACTAATAGGGATATGGATTTCTGCCTGTCTCATTCTTGCACAAGAGAACAGGACACCAGTGGCAATCAGTCACTGGAGCACATGCCCCACTGGTCTCCAGTCATCCCAATTCAGTTTGTCGCCTGTCTGTGTTCCTTGCCTTCTGTATGAATGCTGCTGGACACTATTTGAGAGGCACGTTAAAATGTTTCACACCCATCACACCCAGATAAGATGTTTTGTGTCAGTCTCCCTGAGTTTTTTGCATTTAGAAGAACAACTGCTCTGCATTTTCTGCAAGCGTGCAAAACTATGGCAGCAGCGGCCTCATTGCATGGGCTTTCAGACAAAGAAGCATGGAATGGGTTATTCATATACTTTTGAGAACTCAATCAGCCCTTCTGTGCTTGTGTTTCGCTTCACAAGGGAAAGTCACTCATTTTGCAAGAGGCAAGGCTATAGAAACCTTGATGGGGAAAAACCTCCATTATTTTACTCACACCGGAGATCAGAATTGTCTCGGGGTTCATAATTCATCAACAGGCTGCCTCTCTGGAACAAGAATGAAAACTCCAGGAAAAAAAATTAACATCCCTAGAGTTGCACCAAATGTTCACCTGAAGCCTTTCAGGTTTTGTGAATTGGGAACCTAATATTCCTTGGGGGGGGTACACACAACTTGAATTGTGACAAACAATTTTCATGCTAAAATGTCACTTTGTTCTCCTTTTAGACAGGCCATGTCATCCCTTTTCAGATCTAAAGCCTCGTTCTTTTCTCCCAAAATGACAAGACTGGTTCCAAAATGATGGTCCACCACTGAAGGTTCTGATGGTTGACCATCAAGAACATCTTGATGGTGAGAGATGTTCTACAGTGGGACTAATAGCATCAAATGCTAATTGGCTTTTCATGTTGTTGAATGGTGGGACATCATCTTAGATGTACCTTGGTCTCACACCTGTCATAGATTGGCTCATAGTTCTCCATGCACTGGATAATGCACATACCCTTTCCATGTTCCCAAAGTCTCACCACAACCTACCTTTTCCAACGCATCCTTCAGGATTGGGATTGGGTGGTCAAGAGGCACAGGATCTGGGTAACGAGGACACATCTGTACTGCTTCAGGCTTGACCTCTGTTACCGTTGGGCCTGGGAACCAAGTGAGATGGATAGCGTGGGTGGAGGAAAGGAGCCCTTTTGAGTGGAAATGCTGGAGGAAGTCTCGCTCCGCAGATTTCGAAACAGACCGAGTTAGTCTCCTAATACTCAGGTTGGAATTCTGCCAAATACAAGATGCTGCAGTGCTCCAGATGTTGTTGTGACATTCTTGGCAGTTTTTGCACATCAAAATGCTTTTTTTTAAAAAAAATGTGCATATTGAGTGCAAATGCAGATTACTAAATGCTTTTGCTGTACAGAAACACATATTATGGAAAAGAGAATGGAAGCCATTAAAGATGGTGACCCTTCAGAGCTTGGAAACCCAATATGTGAGTTTTCTTTCTACCACTTCATCACATTGCATTCTTTATATCACTCCATAACTCTGTATTAGAGATGAACTTGCACCGGAAAAACGGTAGTTCGTGATAGGTCACGATTCGTCGCTATTCACGAACTTTGATGAACTTTCTGATGAATTTCACTGTTTTATGGTTTGTGGAAATTCAGACTTCTGGGAGTGGCATTTTAATGCAAATTAAAAATGCCAAACTCACAAGAAGGCTGTCCTCCACACCACCTCCAAGTTTAATGAACACTGGATTTGGGATATTAGAGTTGTGCCCACTTAAAGCAGATCCCCTCCCCAGGAAAGTGGTCTTCCAGGGTATTGGCTATTCCATTAAATAAAAATGATGGCATATGAAACTATGACAAGTAACTCAAGGGAATTATTTGACCAAAACTGGGTTGACCAGATGGGCACTGAGATTTATACTTACTGGGTTCCGCCTTGGGAAGGCTGTACTGCCAAAGGAAGCAGCTGGTCATGGCAACCGAGAGCAGGAAGAAGACAAGGAGGGCAACATAGACCAACTTCACTTCCATCGCGGGCAGCCGGAAGAGGCTATGCTTACTGGAGGCCTAGTGGATACAAAGCAGAGGTTTAGCAGGTCCTTAGGACTGGAGAGAACTCCATTGTGCCAAGTTCTGGGAGTCTCATTTACGAAATTTAATGAGGAAATGTTTTGTGTCAGTCTCCCTGAGTTTTTTTTGCATTTAGAAGAACAACTGCTCTGCATTTTCTGCAAGCGCGCAAAACTATGGCAGCAGTGGCCTCATTGCATGGGCTTTCAGACAAAGAAGCATGGAATGGGTTATTCATATACTTGAAGTTGTTACATGCCATCAAGCCACCTCCGACTCATGATGTCTCCATGACTCTTCAAAATGCCCTGTCCTCTCAACAGTCCTGCTCTGCTTTTATAAACTCTAGGGCATCAATCCATCTTGTATTGGGTCTTCCTCTTTTCCTGCTGCCTTCCACCTTGCCCAGCATTATTGTCTCTTCCAGAGAACCCTACCTTCTCATGATGTGCCCAAGGTACGACAACCTCAGCTTCAACATTTCCAAGAAATCATTGTGTGCTCAAGACAACCCAACTAATGGACACCCATTGACTCAATGGGTACACATAAGTCTTGACTCACTGTTCACCAGTTGATTCAGTAAGTCTACTATAGTTGGCGTTACTGTTTAATTCAGTCCAATGATCAGTTCAAGAGTTTCTAGAGTGTGAAATAAAAGAGACTGGTGGTTTCATAAATCGTTTTTCAGCCCTGTCACCATTTCATCGTCCCTCCAATCAGCTTTAGTTTCAAAATGTACTCTAACCATATTCTTCTTCTGGAGCATTAAATGGACCTACATTGTTGGCGCCCTTGATTACTTGTGTATTAACACAACTGGGTTTCAGAACTTTACCTAGTTGTTCATGAAACATTTCCTTTGTTCCAGTTACTTTTAATATTCGTTACTTTAATCATTCACTCAGCCACACTATTTATTTCTGTACAGCAGATGTTGATGTTATGAGCTGTCAAGTTGCTCCTGTCTTAATGGTGACCTTAACAGGGTTTTCAAGAGATGTGAGACAAGGAGTGGTTTATCTGTGCAGTTTCTTAATGGGTTTCCCCAGAAAAGCAGGGACTTAAATCCAGGTTTTCTGAGAATTAGGGGTAGGAGTAGGGTCTGACATTCTATCATCTAGGTTTAGGTGATGAACTGAAACTCATGAAACTTCCAAGCTGGACACTTTCGGTTTCTCAAGGGTGGTGTGTGTGCTTGTCGGTTTAGCCTGAACATCAAGGGAGCTGTCTGAGGTCCTGAAACTAGGAAGGATAGGTTTCAGCACCTGGATAGCTCCTGTAAAACCAAAAAGACTGAATAGATTCATCACCAACTCTTCATCATTTAAGAACTGTGGAGCTGCAGGGGAACCTATGGATCATCAAATCCAGATCCTGTCAAGGAGGCACAAGGAAATCGAACCACCAAGCTCTGGCTCCCTGTTAGATACCTAAACCACTGAGCTGTCTACCAGTTCATCACCCCTCGGAGAAATGGGCTTTTCACTGCCTCTGTCAACAGAACCAACCAGTGGCTTTCTCAAGTTCTAGTTTTAAAATTGCACATGATGTAAGAGCCAAAGATTTATCTAGGCAAAGATCTACCTATCTGTTTCCCATGGGGGTCCAACAGGTACCCAGATGGGAGACCCTAAGCAGGGCAAACAACACACAGCTGTCTCCTGCTGATTTACACCAGCGATTATCGTACAGAACTGCCTTGCTTTTAGGGCTGAACAGATGGCTTTATTTCTGGTACATGGCAATTGCGCATATTCGTTTATAGGTCTGTTCCATCCCATTTCTGCATTGATCAGCATTAATACTCACATATGCACACACAAAGAGAGATGTATTTAAGGAGGTATGCAAACACAAAATTTTGAACCTATTTTCTGGCAAAGCACGGCTTTCTTCATTTATTGGATATCAAATTCTGCCTTTCTAAATTTATTTTATTTCCATTAATGCACTCTAAACATATCTTGTACCCAGTGTGGTATAGTGAGTACAGTAATGCACTAGGAGTCAGGTGACTGAAGTTCAGTTCTCGGCTCTGCCATGGAAGCTAACTTGGGGAGCGGAATTGGCACAGCCGCTCCTTAAATATCTCACTTACATTGAGAACCCTATTAGGGTCACTATAAGTCAGTTGCACACAGCAACAGCAACAACAATATCAAACAAATATGCCCCCCATTCAAGAAAAATGTCAGATCCTGCACCCATATTGGAACATTCTTCTGCAGCCCAGCTTTGGAAAATACCGGCATCGGAAAGGCGACACCAGGATGTGTTGGGAAGGGAGACCCCCAAAGTCAGTTCATTGTGATGAATACAGGAGAATTTCGGGAAGAAGAGGTGAGTGTCGGTGTGAACAGAGGCTTGGAAAGGAAAGCTGCTGTGCAGAATGATCCTGAGTGGTCTCTATCTCTCTCTCTCCCCCCCCCCACAAGAATACTGCTCTGATTTCATAGCATCCCCCACTCTAGCCCATTGGTTTAGGGTTTGTCCCCAGGCCACCAAGCCAGAAAGGCGGGATGGAAATCCTTCAGTGGGAAAGGAGATGAAGCAGACAGAGGGTTGCCCAACCTGCATGGCTTCTCCCAACCCAGGCCTCCCCAGCCTCTGCCCAGACTTACCTGTGGGAGCTGGCACTACCGTAATCCCACTGGAAGGGCCCTCTTTCTGCATCCGTGAAGTTGAGCACGGGGTGCCATAATGGGCAAGGGGGCACCTGCGAGGGGGGGATTGCAACCCCTCCAGTGCAAGCCTCCGCCATGCGCCGAGAGAGCGGTAGCTGTGGGCGCTCCTGCTGCTACAGCTCCTGCTGGCCTCTGCAGATTTATTTCTCTCCCCTTTTCGGTCTCTCCCCAGTCCCTCCCCCTCTGAGCTCTGGCCTCTTACTCTCTGGGACTCCCAGTGGCCCAGCCAACCCAGGGAAATCCAGATCTCCTTGGCTAAACCCCCTGGGGTGGGGGAGTATGGCATAAGCCGGCATTTGCACTCTCTAAGTGCTCTCCCATTTCTATGGATATTGATCCCAAAGACCTGGAACAGCAGCCAGATCCTCCACGGCCATCTGCTTTGTTCCTTTCCACCCCTAATTTCCTGCCTGCAGGCACATCAGGACCTCGGTGTACACCCAGGAGCAGCAGTGCATGGATTCCCAGCCCTCTCTGTCCATGCAAACATGAACTGGAGAGTCTTTCCAAATCTCCAGAGACAGTGAAGTCGAGATGGAGGCAGCCTTAAAGCAGCTGTGGATTGGACATTTCCACATCTTGGCGTTCAGCAGAAAGAACAGCGGTCTTCTTGGAACATCTGCTAATCTAACATGGTCGGCATTCTTGGAACATCTGCTAATCTAACATGGTTTGGTCTGCTTAAGCTTTTGTGGTCTGCACTTTGCAAAGATCACATTATTCTTCCATACTGTCATGTTGCTTCCAACGTATGGTAACCCAATGACCTCCAAAAGACTCTGTTGTCACCAACTCTGCCCCTGTCTTGCACACTCAAGGTCATGGTTTCCTTTACTGTGTCAGTCTGTCCCACATTTAGTCTTCCTCTTTTCCTGCCATCTTCAGCTTTTCCTACCATTATTGCCTTTCACAGAGCATCATGTCTTCTCATGCTGTGCTTCAAGTCTAATAACCTCATTTTAGATTCTAGAGGAAGTTCAAGCTTAATTTGTTCTAGCAAGTATCTCTAAAACACTCATTCAACACCAGATTTTGAACTAAACCTTTTTTTCCCTTGTCACTTTTATCACTGTCCAACTTTTACCTAGTAGCCTAGGATGATCTTAGCTCTGGTGGCATCTTGTTGAGATCCTTCGTTGCTGCCCTTTCAAGTTTCAGTCTTCTGATTCCTTGGCTGTAGTCTCTAGTTGGCTTGATGGTTCGAGCCAAGAGATAATGCCAGACGTTGTAAAGAAGGCCCACAGAGAAGACTAAACTACAATTACAGCAATTTTAGGAAGACTCAAGGAGCCTTTAACAAAAGAAGGCAAAGGAGGAATGTTTAAAGCTACCAGCCCTCCCATCAGTGGGATTCTTGTGGAAGGAACAGAAGTCATTACCTTGGAAAACATGGATGTCCAAACCAAAAGTCTTCTAACAGGAGATGTGAGTTCAAAGGCCCACTTCATCATGGAGTTCATTGGCCAGTCACACCCAGTGTGAGCTACCTAACAGGGCTGTTGTGAGGATCCAGTGAGAAGCAAAAGCTCTCCATGCTACCTTGGACTCAGTGAGTTCTGGATGGAACTAATCATATACAAGTGATGCTCAGTGTGGTGTAGTGGAGTGACCAACAAAGTTCGAAGAGGCTATGGGAGATTTCTTTGAAACAAATCTGCTAATTAGATGGCACCATCTGCAGCAGATTTTCAGTTTCTTCAAAATCATGCCCCCCGTCTTCCTGCCTGATGACTCTCTCTTCCAAATGCCACCTTCCTGCCTCGCAAATCCTAAATCTGATTCCTGAGGGGCTGCTTTCCCGTTGGCGATGGGTGACATCGTTTGTCTTGCGTTCAGTCACAGGGGCAATGTGTTACAGACGGCTGAAACACTCCTGTCGGTTCAACGCCCACAGAAATGCGTGGCGAATCGATCCGAATCAGACATACAAATGTAGGTTTAGGGGAAGTTTAAACAACCAACTAGCCCCTTTAAAATCATCCTGCCAACCTGTATTTTGGGAGCAAAATGAGGGAGGGGAGATTCGGGAGTTCATCCAACCCCAAAATCGAGGCAAGCTCTTCACAAGGCCATGATGTTCCCTCCCCTTATCCTGCCTTCAGTTTCCCAGAAATGATTCTCTTCTCTCTGTAGGGCAGGGAATTAAACCTGCCAACATGGAGGAAGCGGGGGGGGGGAGGTGATTTGGTCATCCCTCTCACTGAGAGATTGAATATTAATTCTCTCTAATGCTGCTCAGCCATGTGGGTAAAGTGAGCTGACCTCAAGCTATTTATAAAAACCTTCAATCTCCTCTTAGCATCTGTCAGAGAAGGGATTAGCCCAACCAATGAGCAACCTCCCTTCCTCTCTCCCACTGTGTGCAGCAAAAGGCAGAAGACCCCTTTGGGTCTGACGTGCCTCTTGTGTGGTCTATGGGATCCCTCCCCAACTTGTTTTAAACACACAAAGCGAGAGGAATTGCGAAGATCTCTTCAGGAATTGCTCCTTGTTGACCAATTGCACTTGCTCAACAAGTGCAATTGGTCAATTCTTCACCCCAAATTCTACACCCCAAACTGTGGGCTGAAAAAGTTGTGTGCACGATAGAGGGTTTCACTAGATGTCTATAGAATATGCACCAAATTCATCATTCTCATGGATTTAGCCTGCCTCTTGACTGGGCAGTACACTCTAGCGATGGGACTTTTGGATTTTGTGGACTACAAATACCATAGTCCTCTGTTCTGTGAGTTTTAAGTACCTTAGACACCTAACTGTGGCTCACCTGGGAGAAAGGCCTGGCCTGGAAGGCTTTGAGGCCTAGCTAGGCCTAGCTCCACCCAAGCTTCCTGCTCTGAGGGAAATCTTCCAGGAACAGAGTAAGAGCTAGGCCTAGCTAGAACTCAAAGCCTTTCCACACACACCTTTCTCCTAGGTTTATCACATTTAGGTGTTTAATCAGGTATCTTTAAGCCAAGTAGAACTCCCAGCCTGCAGATTTTTGGTGTTTATAGCCCAGAAAATCCCATCCCTAGGACACACAGAAGTGTTATGTTTGCTCACTGAGGTCTATGTAAATTGTTTCCTTTCCTTCTGAGGAGCAAACCGTAGGGGCATGAATACCACATGCTCTCTGTCTCTCATGTAGTCACCGCAGGTGGGGAAGACCCATTTGATAGTGAAGTTGCTCTGCACAAATGTTCACTCCCTTTCCCCATATCTCATGGGAAACCTTGTGCGATTCCTCCAAAGTTGCACGGACAAGTTTTTTTTCAGGAAAATAATATTGTGCAAGATTTCCAAACAGCATGGGATCTTTCCTGTGGAGGATTGATATAGATCTATAGTCTTGATATGGATCTATATCCTTGTTGTTGTTTAGTCGTTAAATCATGTCCGACTCTTTGTGACCCCTTGGACCAAAGCACACCAGGCTCTCCTGTCTTCCACTGCTTCCTGGAGTTGGGTCAAAGTCATGTTGGTCACTTCAATGACACTATCCAACCATCTCGTCCTCTCTCGTCCCCTTCTCCTCTTGCCCTCCCACTTTCCCAACATCAAGGTCTTTTCCAGGGAGTCTTCTCTTCTCATGAGATGACCAAAACTTTGGAGCCTCAGCTTCAGGATCTCTCCTTCCAGTGAGCCCTCAGGGTTGATTTCCTTCAGAATGGATAGGTTTGTTCTCTTTGCAGTCCAGGGGACTCTCAAGAGTTTCCTCCAGCACCACTATATATCCACAATCTATATCCTTAGATTTCACTAAAATGCCTGCAAGCGCCAGAGAAAATCTTCAGCTGTTTTTCTGGGCAAAGCTCACCATTCGAAATGGCATTAAGAGCAGTCTTTCTCTCCTGCGCACCCGGGCAACCGAAACTGTGTTGGCACCCTGGCAACTAGTTTTCATCCAGCAAGTGTCCCTTCAAGAATATCTTGTCAAAACCGAAGGATATGCAATGAAATTCGTTCCAAGCTTTTTGGGAGAAGGGTAGCATTAAAAAGAAGCTCTTGAGTATGGTGGGTAGCCATGCTGGTTTCTTTTGTAACAAAAGAGAAACCTGAAATAGTACTGTGGCATCTAGAAGACTAACTACTTCTTATTTTACATAAGCTTTGATGCGTCCAAGCACACTTTTTCAAAGGAATGGCGCGCCTGTATCTCTGGGCAGAGTAGAAGTTTTGCTCAACAGTTTTAAACTACCCCCAGAGACACAACCACACTGTTCATCTGAATAAGTGTACTTGGACACATGAAAGCTTACGAAAAATAAAAACTCATTGGGGCATGATCACATGTAGCTTGTGGTTTGGACGGCTTGTGGCACTGTCTGGTGTGAGTTATTTCTTAGTGATGACAGGATGTACAGAGAATAATACTCTGCCCTAATCCCAATCCAGGCCCGAGCTGGACCTTTTTGGCTCAGCTCTATTAAATGACTCTAAATCTTTAAACATGGTAGCATTGGGGAATCAGACTGAGGTGGCTTCCTGACCCCAGAATGGGTTCCTTTGCTTGAATCCCAGTGGATGAAACAAAACAACAGCACAAAGATCAGAAAAAATAGAAATGCTGGTTCATTCCTCATCAAGAGGCAGGATCTTATCCCAACCCCTCAATATCTGGTTTGCAATCATGTACAAATGGAACAGATCCCTAATATTATGTATGATTTTTTTTTAAACCGACCCTTACCCCAGACTTCAGCCATGTGGTCATAAGTAGCTGTGCGTTCTCTTATATAACAGCAAAAAAGGAGGGGTGGAATCCCTCACACACACACACAGTCCTCTGGCACCCTTGAGATTAACAGATTTACTTCAGCACGAGCTTTCACGTATACAGCCCACTTCTTTAAATGCAGCTGTTTTTTATCCAGCTGCCGCTAATATATATTTTTCAGTGTGAGTTTTTGAGGATAAAAAACAGCTGCATCTAAAGAAGTGGGCTGTATACGTGAAAACTCACGCTGAATATTTATATTTATATATTCCTTCCTTCCTTCCACCCATCATCAGCTC